CGCCTGCTTGCGTCCGTGTCTCTCTCTCTCCCCTCGTCCCTTGGCGTCTCTCCAAGGCGTCTCTCCCAGGCGTCTCTCCCTGTCTCTGCGAGTGTCTCTGTGTCTCCGTCTGTTAACAGCAGAGCCTGTCCGGCAGAGCAGCGGATGTGTGAGGGATGATTCAGGGGCTGACAGGAAGCCCGCTGCCTTGCCTGCTGCCCGCCAGAGTCTGTGGCGTTGGCGTCAGCTCGGGCAGGTGTGTGGGCTCAGGATGAAGTGGCCGCAGTGAGGAGCCCCCAGCTGTCAGGTAAGTCTTGCCCAGGAGTGCCTGGAGCCTGGCCCAGGGCCAGGGGTCCGGAGGCTGGCTCCCACTGAACTCCCCACGGGGGCAGGAATGGCTCCACTGGCCCAGCGGGAGTGCTGGGGGGGTCCTGCCGGGTGGGGTGGGGAGATGCCCAGCCGCTGGGCCCTGGTCCTGCCCTGGCGCCCCTGGCTGGGAAGTGCTCCCTCCGGGACCCTGCGGCACCCTGCGGCACCCAGGGGCAGCCTGTTTCTGGCCACCTTCCCACCCTCGCCTTCCCCAGCCCAGCCTGGGCCTGGGAAGCCCCTGCGGGTCCTATCGCTTCCAGAGACCGGTGAGGGGCCAGGCCCACGAGCCCTGGTTTCTTTGTCCGTAAAATGGGACTGTAACATCCCTGCCACCGGGCTATTGGAGGACGGGTGGGACTCCACAGGCAAGCGTGCCCAGGGCCTGCCTCAGGCCAGATGGAAGCAGCCCTCCCACCGCCCCCACCCAGCCCCCAGCCTGGCGCTCCAGCTCTCTGCTCTCTGACTGCAAGGCCGTAGGCCCTGGGGACCTGCTTGTGCCCGGCTCTGTCACCATCCCCCACCCCCCCACCGGCCTTGACCTTGGCCGTCACCATTCCCCACCTCTGCCCCGGAACAAGGGCTGCCCAGGCCCCCACACTGGCCTCCTGAGCATTACGAGCCTCCGTTAGAGGTCCCTGGGTTGGCCTTATCTGAAGGCCAAGATTACATGGGAAAGGGAACAGGCACCAGAGCAGAGCCCAGCGGATAAAGCCTTCCCAGGGCCCAGATCCGAATCTCTCGCTCCACTCCTACCCCCTAGTCTGCCCTGCCGCCCTGGTAGGCCTCAGTTTCCCCATCTACGGCTGGAGGTAGGGCTGGGAGATGGGGCAGGAGGCTGGGACACTGAGGCCCGGCCCTGAGGGCTTTCCCACCGAGGGCTGTTGCAAACCTTGTTCATCTGAAAACTGCGCACTTCCCTTTGTGCTATTTTGGCCCGCGGCACCTCGGCCTGTGGCCACAGGCCGCCTCGCCTCCCCACCCCACCCAGCCCTGCCTGCCCCTTGGGGCCCTCCTGGGGCCCCTGGGCCTGCCTCTCTTGGGGGCTCAGCCTCCTCCCCCAACCCTCATCCTGTGCCCACCAGCTCGTGGGGCCTGGGTGGGAAAGCCCAGCCGGAGGGCGGATCTGCTCAGTCTGGGGGCCTCTCTTTGAAAAAATATTTCATGCTTCTTAAAAATAGAATTGTAAGAAAGGGGTACAGGAGCGTGGCCTCTGGAGCCAGCCCTGCCTGAGCTGGGGTCCTGGTTCTGCTGACGGGCTCGCTGGGGGAACTCGGACAGAGTGCCTGTCTCTCTGGGCCTCCCTCTCCTCCTTTGGATGAAGGGAGCTGGCATCTCCCAAGTGACACTTGGCACGTCTGTGACAACTGAGGGGCCGGGCCGGATCCCAGCCCGCCCCGGGGTCCCGGCACGATGGCCCCCGTGGGGCGGTGGAGGGGGGCTCGGGCCGGTGTGTCTGGGGGACCAGGCGGGACGGTTCTGGTAGGGTTACCCCGCACTATTCACTGCAACACCCCCCGCCCCCAAAAGGCTGTGGCTGCCCCTTCCCGTTCCATGGGGACCCTGATGGTGGCGAGTCGTGGTTGTCATCCAGCTGTGTCCCCCAGACTCCCACACTAGCACCTCCGAGCACCATCTCGATGCTGGGCCTCATGTGACACACCTGAGGGATGTGTCATTATTTCCCCTGTTGTAGAAGGGCCGCCGAAGGCCAGTGAGGCTGGGATTCCACAGCAGAGGCAGACACACGCTGTGTTCTCGGGCTCCCCCTCCTTCCCTCAGCCAGTGCCAGGGGGACGGGGGTGGGCCAGGATGCCCCCCCCACCCCGGCCCCGACCGTGCTGCTTGTCCCTGGACAGCCGGGTCCAGGAAGCAAGAGGGCGCCCTGGTGGCCAGGATGCCCTCGGTCGAGGGTCCCCCTTCCCCGGGACGGCCACAGAGGTCAGCAGGCCAGGTCCTGGGCCTCCGTCGCCAGGCCGCAAGAGCACGAGTGAGTTCTCTAAACCAGCCGGCCAGAAATAAGACCCTTAGCACGCTTCTCTTCCGGAAGCCCGGCCGGTGAGCCAGACTGTTTATCATCTGCCGAAAGTGCTTTGAGGAAGGCACTGCGTCGATCCCCATTTTGTAGATGAGAAAACCGAGGCCAGGAGACAAACAGGCACAAGCTGGAGTCCTCCCTCCAGGACCAGGTGCTCCCAACCCCGCACAGCCTGAAGTGCCCTGGGGCGGGCGGCCCAAGGTTGGGCGGGGAGGAGGTTGTGCAGGCCGGGAGGGCAGCGCCCCGGCTCTGAGAGGGCGGGGCTCAACACGGACAACGTCGCGGGGTGGCGGGGGCCGCCCCGTCCTGAGATTTAGCGACGCTCGTGCTCCCACTGACTCACTCGGTGTTTGGGGAAGGAGGGGTGGCTTGTCCGTGACGGCCCCGACGGAGGCTCCGTGTGGCGTGGAGGTTCCTGGTCATTTTTGCCACAAGGGTGGAGGCAGCCCTGAGAGGCGAAAGGGACCGCCGGCCGCCGCGGTGTAGGCCTCGGGGAGCCCAGGGCAGGAGCCGGGCGACACGAGGCTCCGCTTCTCCCCCGGCCTCGCCTTCCCCGGCTGTAAAGTGGGGAGAAGCCCTCCCCCCGGGTGGCTGAGGCAGGGGGAAAACAGGTGTGCACAGGATGCGCAGGGAGCCGGTGTGGGCCCCCTCGGAGACGCCCTGTCGCCCCCTCAGCCGCGTCCCCCGGCCACTGCCAGGAGACCGTCTCCGCGCTCGCGACGATTCTTCCCGGAAACCCCCTCAGCGGGGCACTCCCCGGGCCCCGGTGTGTGGCCGCCCGTGGCTTCGCCAAGGACTGGCAGTCCCAGCGTGGCTCCGCGGCTGGGACCAGCCACTGACCAAGCGGTGGCCCGAGGCCAGGCGGGATTCAGAGTGTCCTCACCCTGCAGAGTCCGCCTTCCAGCCCGCGACGCTCCCGGCACCTCCCGCCGCCAGCTGCAGGGGGAGCCCGCCAGGCCTCTCTGCCCCCCGCACCCTTCTTCCCCTTATGCCCTCAGGACCCCCCTGGTGCCTAAGGAAAGGAGATCCCACTCCTGAGAGGGGCCGAGAAACGCCCTAGGGTGGGTGTCGGCTGCCGGGGCTCCGGTGCCGAAGGGGCCGTGGACCGAGCTCAGGAAGCAAAGCTGGGTTTACAGGAGGCGACAGGGTAGAGCCAGACTTAGGGCCCCGAGGCTGGAGTTTGAGTCCTGACTTTTTACTTTGCAGCTGGGATCTCCAGCCTCAGTTTCTCCTTTCTTCCTTCTCTTCCTTCCTCCCTCCCTTCCTTCCTCTTCCTTCCTTCCTTCCTCTTCCTCTTTCTTCCTTCCTTCCTCTTCCTCTTCCTCTTTCTTTTCTTTCTTTCTCTCTCTCTCTCTCTTTTTCTTTCTTTATGTTTATGCATTTTGAGAGAGAGAGAGAGACAGAGCATGAGTGGGGAAGAGGCAGAGAGAGAGGGAGACACAGAATTCGAAGCAGACTCCAATCTCCCAGCTGTCAGCACAGGGCCCGACGTCTGGCTCGAACTCGCCAGCCATGAGATCATGACCTGAGCCAAAGTCAGACGCTCTACCGACTGAGTCACCCAGGCGCCCCTCCGGCCTCAGTTTTTATATTTGTGAAATGTTGGGAGGGCAGCTGTGTGGATTAAGCAAAGGGCACATGGTGCTGTCTGGTCCCCAGAACCTTCCAGCACTTAACCAAGTGTCGGTGATGGCCCTGGGGCCAGGACCGCGGGTTTGGGGTCCGATGAGGGAGCAAGGTGGTTCCAGGGCTGATTCCAGCCTGACCCGTTGCTAGGGCAGGGAGGGGAGCCGGTGCTCCCAGGGCCTGGGCTCAGCCGTGGGGCTGTCGGGACAGGGGGTCTGGAAATCCGAGGGTGTGGGGCTGGGCAGGACCCTGGAGGGGCGGTCACGGGATGATCCACGTTGCAGCCCTGCAGGACGAGTGGCTAGGAGCGGACATGAACGTGGACGCCGAGCTGCTGTGGCCGGGGGTGGCCCTGCTGCTGCTTCTGGGGACGGTGGCCAGCCTGTGCGTGCGCTGCTCCCGGCCAGGTAACAGCGCGGCGGGGAACAAGGGCGTACCCGGACCTGGCCGCGCTGGGTGGACCGAAAGACAGGCTTTGACGAGGCAGGGATGAAACCCTAAACCAGCCCTGAAGACCATGAGTCTGGGTCACTGTGGGGCTTTGGTTGTGCTGGGTCAAGGGGTCTGGGGCAGGGGAATGCTCTGGCAAAAGGGTGGAGATGTGCTGTGCTGCCTGCAGCGTGGACCTTCATGCTCCGCTCTCCCAGAGAGCAGACGCCGTATCAGTGACAGGTGGCCCGCGGCGATTGGCCGGCCGTGTCCCATGTCCCATCTGGGGCCTGCCCAGGGCACAGGGGAGACAAGATGGGGGGATCTCAGAGCTCAGTGCCCGCCCCGGCACTGGGACGCTTGATGATCTGGTCTTGTTCTTGCAGTGGTGAAGAAGTCTGAGAAGATCTACGAGCAGAGGAGCCTGTGAGTGCTTAGGTGTCCCCAGCCCAGTGACTTGGGGTGCCCTGGCTGTGGGCCTCCACAGGGGCAGCCCCTTGGGTGTCCCTGCCCCCCTTCCCTCACCCCTTCCCGCCTCCTTCCTCCAATGGTTCCCGAGCAGTCCAGCCTTGGGAGGAGGGACAGCCTGCCTGCCCAGAGGGCCTCCCCTTGCCCCCAGCCCAGGGGAGGCCGCTGTGCTGGTGCTGGGGGCGGACACAAGAGTCCTGCCCTCCTAGGCCACGTGGGGAACCGAGACCGGGCGCAGAGCAAAGCGGGGTACAGGTCTCCCCTGGAAGAAAGGCTCACAGGGCTCAGAGCTCCAGGAGGATGTGGGCGTGTCCTGGGGGAATCAGGAGGCCTGCCGGGGCGGTGGGGAGGTGGGGAGGATCTGAAGAAAGAAAGAAGGCGAAAGGGAACATTCCAGAGAGAGAACAGTGCGGGCCGTTGCCCACCGAGGACCGGGGTGGACACAGTCTTCTGGGGCTGAGGTGGCAGGTACAGGCCTCTCTTGAGAGACGTGAGCTGGGCGAGGGGGCGGAGGCTGTGGCCTTTGTCCTGAGGGCCCGGGGGAGCCACAGAGGAG